TTTATTTATTTAGTCATTTATTAGACGCTTTTATCCAAAGCGACTTACAAATGAGGACAACAGAAGCAATCAATTGTAGTATTAAAACAACTAAAAACAGATCCAAAACTAAAAGCTAAAACTTTATAAATACTACTTATACACATTTTAAAAATAAAGAAATTAAATAAAAATTACAAATGCTTACAACAAAATTTCAAAACTTAACATTTAAATGAAAAACAAAAAATAAAGCTAAAAACAATTCAAAATATTAAAGAACAAAAGGTATAAGTGTATAATAATGATTCTAACATAACACTAAGCCAAACACCAAAAAAACAACTACATATGTGTATGTACAACTACACACACATACATATATACTTTATATGTACATACACATTTATAAATTCAATATATATATTATTTCATTTCCATTTAGTTTGTTGAAGTATTAAAATAACTCAAATTAAATAAAACTAAAAACTTAATAAAAGACCTATACAGACATAATAAATTCAGACATAATTTAACTAAAATTAAAATAAATAACAAATACAAATAATACAAATCAAATTACAGTAGTTTCAGTAATCCTAAAAAATAACACTGCCAAACACACATGCTAAAAAACAACAATTTACTTACACATAGTAAGAAATGGTTATAAAAACTGAAACGAGTAATAGGAAAGTGGAGAAATAAAAAGCGATACGTGGAAGCTATGTGCGTTGATCAATGTAGGGTATCAGAGCGAATCAGACACTTTAAGATTTGATCAGATTGGTGTTGAACAACCCAAAGAGTCAAATTCCACAAAGGGGCCCAGGATGAGACAACAGGACATTCGTAAATCAGATCCTAGCGCCAGCCAGTCTGAAGCAAGCCTAACTAACCAACTCCACAGTTTGGACAGCTTTCAAAATTAACACAAAAGAACACAATGCTATTTTCAATTCAGGAAGGAGATTGTCAATTTTGGGGTAAGTAACCAAGATTGATAGTCAAAAAGATGCACAGCCTGACCATCACATGTAAATCCATGATAGAAATCATGAGCTACATACTTCCTCGGACTGGATTCCC